GTAAGTATCATATCCGAGCCGCATCCGGACCGAATAGGCATAGTAATTAATCTAATAATCTTCTATGAGATTGGATTTAGACTTTTTGGTTTTGTCATTTAATTCTCAAAATATTTTGATTTCTCATGTCCTCTCGTAGACTCAATCCAAAATTTTACGTTCTATTTCTTGAAAAGGAAATCTAGCTTTCTCAAATTGCATAAACTTCCCAAAGAGTAGTCTCTCATAAGCATAGAAAGTGCCCACTTTATTCCACTTTATTTATTATCCATGAGTACGTGGCACATAGATACATAGACACATACTGAGTTGCGGGCGGTAGTACGTTACATGTTATACATACTCCCTCCCTCACATATTCAAAAGAAAGACCTCCCTTGAGCAGTACTCTCTCTAGGCTCCAAAACCCACAACTCCTCCCCCCTTATTCTCTTTCACCCTCCTCGCCTCCTCCCTCCTAATCCTCGCCTCCTCCCTCCGAGTCCGGTACGAATTTGCCAACACATCTGCCGGAATTCCTCTTATTGCCGACGATCTACCAAATATCGGGCTGACGATCGTGTATTCGCTCGTCTTGAACGCAACCCACTCGAATACTTCATCGCCTGATGCATTCTTGCATGAGCACTGAATAGTTCTGCGGGATGACAATGAGGTTGCCTCAACTGAGATCCCCGTTGAAGATGGAGTTGCCGTTGTTGTCTACGATTTGGAGGCGGGCATGGCAGTGGAGTGCGTAGATGATGGTGTGGGCGTTGAGGATCCAGTGGGGAGCTAAAGTGCGCTCTGGATTGAGATATGGAGGAAACTTATGTTAGTAGAACGAAAAAAAGAAATTTTGGGGTGAGAGAGGCTCGAACTCTCGACCTCAGGATAACTCAAGTTTTGCTATGAGACCTACGCGCTAGCCAACTGCGCCACCACCCCTTTGAGTTGTTATATGATTGTTATTTATATGATTTATTCTTCAAATTCTTTCTTCCAAAAAAAATTTAGGCCCCAACTTTTTTTCCTCAGTTTTAACATGTTATTTTCCTATCCAACTTTATTATATTTTCATAAAACAACTATGGAAAGGTAAATTTGAAGAAATAGATATAGAGAAATCTAAAAATTGTGTGATAAATAATTTCTTCCCTCTTTTCCACAAATTTAGTCTTTTGTAGAAAGTTAAATCTACAAATAGGTGATATATTAATTAATCTGAAGATAAGATATCTATTTCTGATTTGACATAGAACAAATTTTATCCATTAATATATATAAGCAATTATGATTAAACTTGATGGTATTTTTTGTGACAATTTTATTAATTAAGAAAAGTAATGGTAGTTTTTTGAGAAAAATAAAGGCTATAACGGACTTTTCTAAAAAGCAATATATATTAACATTTATTTTATTTTTTTCTAGAAAGACAAAATATGAGACGTAAACTAAGATGGAAGAGGCTTGAAACATTTTTACACTTTATATGCTTTTGTACAAGAAATCTAAACTCTGAATTAAGCAATTTTTGCATTGATATATGACTTACTCTACTGAGACCTCCTCTCTCAGCACTGAGCTGCAGATACTTAGGAACAGGCAGCTTCTGACCATTGACCGAAGTAATCCATCCTGCTTGAGGGTTGTACACGTCAGACCTAGGAGGATCCTCTATCTTTTCCTTCAACCTCAAGTTACAGAAACCCTCTTCAACTCCATTCTCACTCTCTCCCCTTTCTTTCTCCTCTTCACCCCTCTCTCTCCTCCTTTCTCTCTCCTCCTCTTCACCCCTTTCTATCTTCTCTTCTCTCTCCTCCTCTTCTTCTCTCCTCTCTGGCCTGACAAACCTAAGCTCATGTTCAACCCTAACAATACTCCCTCTCTGATCGTCTCGGCCTTGGAGCTTCTCTGCCGTTTCTCTGCTGATTCCAGCAGCTTCCACCAAAAGCTCAACATCGAAACCGGCCAACATGTTGTTTCTCTTAGATTCTCCCTCTTGGCGCTGCACCTCGATCTCTTGGCTGGTTCCCAGCCAAGTAGAATTCTACAAGTAAAACCTCAAATCAGCACTCAAATATAGAGATATTGTCTGATCTAACATAACTTGAATCGCAATGTAATTGTTAGTTACATGTAATTGTCAATTGTTGTGTGCATAGAGCGTGTACTGAGGATTCACAAATTTGCTGAGAGAGAATCACACAAATCAACTAATAATGACACAAACTCAAACACAAAGGTTTAACGTGGTTCGGAAAATTGCCTACGTCAATGGGGTAAGAAGGGGATGTGTTTTCACTATAGAGAAAGAGAGAATACAATCTGAGATTACAAGATCACTCAAAAGCTCACAAATAATCTCTCAAACTAAACTCTCAAATCTCTCACAAAACCCTCAAACAAATTGCTCAAAAAACACTCTCTTTTTCTGTGCTCAAAATCTCCCCTCAATGCTACCCCAAAATCAAATTCTGGCAATTGAAACGATAGGAAACCCTAAACAAATCATGTTTCTATTTATATCAAATAGAAAACCCAAACAGTACAGGAATCCGAAGCATGCCTAGACCCAAATCGTGGTCGATCGCTGTGCCAGTCACGGTCGATCGTGGCCAATGACAAAGAACAAAAAACTACTACAAGGTCTCGCGGTCAACCACTGCGCCACTTGCGGTCGACCGCAAAAAGTCCAGAGACTTTTCTAGGCTATGTGCACGATCATGGTCGACCGCCATGCCACTCGTGGTCGACCGGCCCAAACTTAAACCTGTCCTTCGCTATTTCCTGAACTTCGATATTTCCTCTTTAATTCTCCACCTCAGTGAAGTTTTTCCAAAACCGAGCCGACACCAACCAAACCAAATGTATTACTTGTTGTGTCCAGTACGAAGTGAAATAAAATCACAACAACGGACTCAATCCACAACAAGTCGAGACTCAAATGAGAATACGATCACTCTCCAAACGTCGATATCTACTCATCAAATTGGCTGTATCAAAACTAACTGCCTATGTATCCTTTTGCCCAAGGAATCAAGCCTTCACATAGTTCCCCAAATGGCCTCCGAAGGCCCTCGATCAAATAGGAGAGTTCGCAACTCTTTACCAACAAATCTGTGACTGATAGCTCCCTCAATGCGCCTAAAGTGAAACAAATAAAACACCTCCACTTGAGGTGAACCAATGGCCGTATCCAAATCCAAACTATGTCCACCAGTTTCACTCAAATCAACCAACTCATCATCTGTATCCAAATCAACATGATCCCCCAAACTATGTCACCACAGCTGGAATCTCAAACGATGTAGTATGATCTGGAGTATGTGAAGTAATCTTCACCTAATATGAAGTAGCATCATCCTCCACCTGCTGCGATACATCTAAGGTCTGACCAAAACTCTTCACCTGTTAAGAGTCAATTGGCTCCCTCATCGAAGCCTCATCTGAAGTGACACTACCAGACCAAACATCCAATAGAGTTTTACCTCCAATTGTAGCAGTCGACAACCCTTTAATGAGATAAGTTAAAAATATCAAAGCCTCAATCTAGAAACTCTTCTGCAAACCATTGCTTGACCATAAACACTGTTCCTTCTTCAGCAAGGGACGGTTCTCAAAATTTGTCACCCCATCTAGTTGTTCCAAGATTTCTGTTCCAACGAAGTGTCTCTAATTGCCTTGAGCTCGGCATAGATACAGAAACGGATCCCTCTTGTACCTCCCACCAAGTTCAAACCAGAG